TTTGCTTGCTGCTCAAGTTGCACAGGAACTATTTCAAGCAGTGTCACAGCAGCAGTCCTATAAATGCATAGTCACCAGGATACTGAACCTGGGACAAGGTCTTAAAACAAAGTTCCTTCTGTGAAATGTGGCCGTTTTTCACCTACAGGAGTTTGCCATAAAAAGTGGGAGTTTGTTTTGTTGGTTTTGGTTCAGTTTTTTTTTTTTTTTTTTTTTTTATAGAATTGACCCTACCTTCATTATTATTGCAATAATTATACAAATTTATTACTTCACAAAGCCTTTTTTTTTTTAAGGCCATCCCACTGCCCATATCTCAGCTGTGTGATTAGTTTCACAGATAGCATGAGCTGAGTAATTTCACCCTTTTTAAAAACACAATCACCATTACCAGACTCAAACATACTTCCTGATATTTTTCAGGAAACTAATTTCTATTTTTAAAATCAATTCTAATAAATAGTAATGAAAACTTGTACAGGGTTTTTCATCCAAAGCTGACAAATTAATTGTTATGCAACAAATATCCCAAGATCAACTTGCTCAGCACTGACATTCAACGAATTTAATCAGTAACACTAAATGGGGAGAAGGAAAGAGCAGTATGTTAGATAGACAAAGCACTTTGATCCTTAGTTATGACATTAGGCTTAACAACTTTCCAAAACCAAACTCTGCTTTGCTATCCAGAACAGCTGAGAATATTGGGGTCTATCAAGAGAGAAATTAAAGAAATCAAAGTGAAATAGTTGCTTTGCAAATAACAGAAAACTACAGAGCAGCAGCTAGCCTACAAAGCCAGGTGTCAAGCTCAAATCATTCTCTACTCAGATTAAAAGTTTGCCTTCTTGCTCCATTTGATCTTCACTGAATTAGACAAAAATTTATATCCAAAATTTTTATTATATGCTTTGAAGCAGGTTTCCCCCTATCTTTAGAAGCACACCATTATCTTTCCTATTCATATGTGGTGGGTTTAGTAAAAATGTAAAGGAAGCTACCACATAGATGATGCAGTATGCTTGTCTCTACTGTGGTCCACATCATGCTGTGGTGGGCATGGTTCCCACTACTGATGGGTGGCAAAACTGGTGATGGAATGTATAAAACTGTGATCTTTATACAAGGAGGAGCACATGACCACAGTGATCACTCAAATGATGTAGTACTGTTTATACTTTTGCAAAGGATCTCATCTCTGACTTTTTACGAGCCTCAAGTGCACTGAGAAATCCTTTCCTTTCCCTTTCAGGGCTATAAAACTTTCACAGAGGTTTGCAACAAAAATTACGCCTTTTAAAAAATACTGAGTTCTCCCCTCTAGTTAGTGGGGATAAATATGTACAATAGAGCTTGTTATAAGGTCAAAAATAGCCTCTGCTCTTGAGTACTTTGCGCAGTCCCACTTCCTTTGCCTTGAGAAGGAGGCATTGGAATTGTAGTAAAGAAAGTAAAGAGACAGCTAAAATGATAATCAGAAGTAGACCATAGAGTTCCAATGGTGAACCACTAGAACAAAGTACAGCTTCACAGATAGGCAGAGATAACTGTGGAGTACAGAGCGTGCAGTGGAAGGCTTATAAATTTGTGAACAGCAAAGAGGTGAATAAAGACTAGTAAATTTTTTTCTTCAAGAAAAAGAACTCCTCAGTCCACCCAGTGGAGTCATCAGATGGAGGACTTAAATATAAGGAGTTACATTTAAAATACAGCACATAGATGAAGTGGAAAATATTGCCAAAGGACATCATGGAGATCAAGATTTTAACCTGTTTCAAAGACAAATTCATGCCCATCGGCATCTAAAACATGCCCTGGTCCAGTGCAAGTCTCAGAAGATGTTCCGTTCTTATATTCTTTTCACAAAAATCTATCATTGATAGAGAAAGCATATCAGGTCTCTGTAGGATCAGAAGAGCAGCTGCTGCAGCAGTGATGTGGGGAGTGGTTCCCCCAAGCCCTGTATAAACCCTCAAAACCTATATAAAGACCCTACAGCCAAACAGTGCTACTTTGATTAAACTTTTAGATCTTCAGTCTTTTTTATGGCATGAAATGATTCCATAAATATCTTACCTGCCAAATCTGTTTTATGTCAAGATGGCATAAAAAAAAAAGAGAATGCAGTAGAAGTATTTCCAGGTGCAACCTCTGTGTATCATCCTGGATGAAACGTGAGACGATTCTCCCACCCTGTCCACTGCATTCCTTTGTGGAACTGGGCAAGTTACTTTGCTCCTTCCCTCTGCTGGTCTATTCTGTCTCCTTTAATTTGTTACTTCTGTGCAGGCAGTCTTCTCTCAGGGTTGTCCTTATGGCTTTTTGAAAGCTGCACACTTATGCTATTTGTCTTCAAGAAGAATGAAACCTTCCCTTCAGTGTTAGAGAAGTTTGCTTCCCTCCCTCCCCATCACCTCCTTCCCCTCTTCAGGAAGGTCTCTATCCAAAGTCTCTGGACAATGTTTTAACACAGAGAAAACCCCATGGTGTTTCAGGAGAGGTTGTGTGAATCTGTGAGACTTCATTCTGTCTGTCCTCCCAGAGCCATGCAACTTGCCTCACTCTTTTCACTATGCTCCTTCTTTGTCCTTGCAGAGTCTATACTGATTGTTCACCTTCTGACACTGTTTGGATACCGTGGTGCCTTCCACACTTTGTGGCCAAGAATAACCTGAGGAAGAGCAGGGTTATGTTAAAACAACCAAAAACCATTCACCTACCTCTGGAGCTGCCTCTGCAAGGAGCACTGAGCTGGAGTGCCACTGCAGCAGGGTAATCACAAGGGCCAAATGCACCACAACCAGCTGGAACTGCAGCATCTGCAAAGGAGGACAATCTGCTAATGACTTCACAGCTGCATTCCCAGAAGAACCTTGCTCCAAAGGTCTTAGAGAAGTTAAAGCAAAGGGATATTCAGTTTCCATGGCTGTTAATGTTTTCTCTTAGAGAGTCACCGCATGAAACCCAGCAACCAGATAGTGCCACCTGAATGCTCTTCCCCTTTGGGTGCAGAATCAGCTCGCTCCTCTTTGCTTCTTTACAGGCCTGCAAATCTTTGAATTCCTTTCTGCACATTGGCCCAGTTCTTGCAGCAGCAGTAGTAGCGAATGCAACTTGTGTTAAAACAAGATTAACTAGACACTAATTTGTAAGCAGGAAGACTTTGGCTCATAGGCATCCAGGTTGATGGATAGGTGCTTAATGCTGTTACAGAAATTACATAACCTTTCCAGCAGCATTTTGAAAGCAAGGCTGTATTTCACTAGTCCTCAACATGTGCTAATGGTAGCCACAACTTCCAGGATCTTCTTAGGGTCCTAGAATAAAGTTATCCAGGTCCCACACCTGGGAAAAGCTTACATGGGAACACAGTGCTCAGACTGGTGGTGTTTTGAGCACATGTCACAGCTGCAGAGCTCCAGGTGCCTACAGAGCCTTTAAATAACGCAGGCACAGAAAAGTTCCTGAGCAAGAGGCTCAGGAAGCTTCTCGCTGCAGGGATTATCTCTGGCCATGGGTTTAGGCTACATTGTTTAAGCCCTTGTTTGGATCTTGCTCTTGAAACCTGATGTGCCTCCAACTCACTCAGGTGGGAATATTTCAGCCGATGTTCATAAGAATTAGGCTGGGGCCTCTTGAGCCAAAGTTATCTGCTAATTTGCTGCTTACTCTGTCTCAAGGTCCTGCAGCAGAGAATAGTTCAAGGCTGATTGTGCCATTCTTTGCTGACTGTTTGGCAAAAGCAGAAATAGAAAGGATGTGTAAATGCATTTCTATGATGTATGATAGTTATTTTATCCTCTGCATAGCAAATTTCCCATTAGATCACACAGAAAATACATGGTAAAAAAAAAAAAAATTTGGCTTTGTACTTTTACTCCTCCCTACAAAGGAGAAAAACCACAGAAGTGTTAGGAATCCAGTTTTAAAAGTATAGCTATAACATTTGTAGTGTTGCTTCTCAAAGCTCTGTTTCTTGCTTGGCTTTTTCAAGACATTTTACATGTGTTTCTGTTATTTGATTACCCCATTATACTTTTTTTTTTTTAAAAAAATATTGTCTGTGAGGGACTGGTAGTGAGGAAGAGGCAGCTGGTTATTCTGTAGGAGTGAAGCAGATTTAGTTCACTGGAATCAAAGGACAAAGTCAGAGCAGTAAGCCAGGTGGTACCACTGTCTGTCAATCTGATGGCAAGAGCCATTAGAGTGAGACAAGGGTCTGTCTGGGTGTTTTTAAAGCTGTAACCCTCTACAATGTATATTTTTGTATGTGGGTGTGCACTGAAATTTGAAGTGGTAGCCTACTACCTTCACAGTTAACCACATCCTGATCATTTGGATACAGAGGCGTAAAAATAAATGGCGAGGTTAAAAACACATGTTTATTATGATTTAAGGTCTGTGCTGGTATTCGTTCAACCCAAAGACCAAAAAGCTAAAAATAGCAACTGGTACACTAATCAAAATAAACATTAAGGCACCTGCAACACAAAAGACATTTGATTAACTGGTTAGAACTTGACGCCAGAAATTAGAAGCAGAGGAAATTGTAAGGACTAAAAGCTTGGCTCTGGTTCCCATGGAAATGAGGAGCGAAGAAGCAATGTCACTGGTTTAAAAGGGAGCAAAACTTAAGTCCATCAAGATCCTGTTGTCCTGTTTTTCACAGAGGATGGGACCAAGGCAGAAGAAGCAAGGTTGCTCTAGTGGGGCAGTGTAGCTCTAGAAAAGCATTTGCAAAACTAAGGGTGCAATGAGGACTATTTAAACGTAATTAAAATCACACTGTCTTCTGCCAGTCTGAGACTTAGCTTTCCATCTTTATCCCTGTCAAAGCATCTTAGCTGTTAAAAGCAGTTGTTGCTTTTTCTCCTTGAGCTCAACTGTTGCATTTGGGTAGGCACAGCCCTCCTGTCCAAAGGGGCTTTTCCAGCCATGCACTGGTTGTCGCTTCACCCCATCCACATTTTACTTTGACCCATTCCAAGAAAGACCTAAAGTGAGGCTTGATAGTATTTGTAACTGAAGGAGAATAAGCAAAGCTCTGCCAACCACATGGTCCTTTGCAAGATGCATCGTTACCATTTGTATGGAATTTTCAACCTTTTTGTGGAAAACTCCTTACCACCAATTTCAGAGATAGTTTGAGAGATTGGGGTATAATTCCCTGTCTTTAGCATCTCAGGATCTGGTCTGGTGTTATCTGACATAAGATATGGTTTACCCTTCACTAAATGTAATTGCAAGTCTGAAATTCAGACATATTTATGTGTTTTAGTGATATTTCAGCTTGAAATGTGTCAGAACTAAAATTCCTCATATAATTAAGCATCTTTGTTGCAGGTCCAATTAAAATAAAATTCAAGATAAAAGAGAGAACATTATTCTACCTTATCAAAGCAGGATAAACATTCAAAACTTTTTCTTAGGACTCTGTGCAGAATCATTTTCCAAGAAAAGATCACAAGAAAGCAAAATTCTGTACCAAACAGAAACTGTTAAGTTTCTAACATCAAACCAAAGGACTTAAAAGATGTTTTTTCTTTTAAAGAAAAAAAACAAAAAGCAAAATGACATCCGGAAGATAAGTGGGCTGAGCAAACCCCAGACAGCATGCAATTCATCACCAAGATCCAAACCCATTGCCTGTCAAAAATGGTAACAGCTGTCATTGTTTTTACCCATTTGAGCTATCATATTTCACATTACTGTGGAGATTACTCCGCAAGTATAAATTACAAGAGCTTTATTTTTCTTGCTGGCCTGTTAGGAAGAGAACTGAGGCAAGACATCATGCCTCACACTGTAATCTTTCACCGCAGCTGCCACTATATATTGATGACTAGGCTCTGCTTGGTTTTGTAACACCAACACAGGACATGCCCAAGCTCACCTGCGAATGGGGACCTTGCTCTTGCAATGAGCATGTTGTGGTTGAGCCCAGGAGCCCTTGAGGTTCTGTGCTATATGCTCCCAAGCTGACCTGGTGCAGAGCTAATGTGTCCCATAGGCACTGGGTAGCTCCTGGCAGTGCCCATCGGGATTCAGTTCTTCTGCCGTATGAACACTGGGATGGTACTGGTGAGTCTCCATCACCTGCTAGCCACTTGGATCTCTCAAAACATGCAGATTCCAACTGTCTGGAGAAAATCACACCGTGTCTGCAAGCCAGTCACTGAGGTATTTTGTTTTTGCTCCACTGCCACAAAATAGAATATTATCATCTTAATCAAACATACCATTGAGTCCTAACATTGGCCTTGCTAACCTTGGATGGGACACCGGATGTGACTCTACCTTTGCAAAAAAAAAAAAAATTATGATGGATGAACATCTTACCAAAAGAACAACTTATAAATGGCTTGTGTGAAGCTCTGAGAATGTCTGCTCCTGCTGCAACAAAATTGC